TCTTACACACATTTACTAAGATATGTTCAGGTAAAGTAATCAGGACTTCCACTGCAAAGAAAACAAGTATATGAATGACTTTCCTTACTCAGGATTGGGTAGACCAGTCATTCTCATTTTTTAACCACAGCCATAAACACAATATGAAAGAAATATAGGCTGGATGAGGATTGCATAAATCACATAATGAACATAAGTTGTATAAATGTACGAATAATTGTTTCCAGTCTGTGCTCCCCCTTCAAATGTGCCAGGACCCCCTAGGGGCCATATGGCTCACACTGAAATGGCCGAGGTAGACTATTTGAAACTGTACCAAATCACCAGTGCACAATGTTATTCCAGAGTCTGATCAGAGGCATAATTTTGCATTTTACAAATGTCAATCAGTATAGCCATCCAAGAATTACAGCAGTTCTTATTTCTGGTTATCAGAAAACTTACGATAATTCTCTCCTCACTTTCCTGCCTGCTTGCTTCTGTCCCTCAGATTATTATATTTATATAAAATTACAAGACAAGGAAATAGGATGTAGCCCTTCTCTAGGGACAACAGAAGAATCCTGCCTACAGTATGTCCTCTGGGCTGTTGTCCTGCCCAGCTCTGATCAGCCCAGGGATTTGCGTAATTGCATTGGAACACAGCTGTTGCAAATGAAGTATTGTGATAGCCAAAACAGAATAGGTCATATCTTACAAAACTGTACTCCTCGGCTGTTGTGAGAACTGCTAGGAACATGATAAGACTGACAGGAAAACCTAGCCCTTCAACATGGCAATGGATTTTTCCAGCTAATATCATTTCCATTGCCTGCTCAGAGTGCACAGACTGTTGTAATCTCAAAAGCCAATTTTGCACTCCAGGAGAGAATTTGTGGCCCAAAGCAGTTGGTGCTAATAGCAAATATGAAGGGGAAAGCTGCAAAGCGTTTGAGTGCATCTAAAAAGAGGTAGATAGTACTGGATGTCATGACATGGCTCACATGCTAAATTAATCTCATGAAATAATTTCAAACACCACTTCCAGAATTGAAGTTGGGAAGCATTAAATAATCATCTAATGCAACAGTACAATGCTCTGTTTGAAGACAAAGGTCCACATCAACCCCTTCACAAATATAACTAGAGAACTGAGGGCAAAATGTGCCACAAGCAGAGCACAGAGTTGGATTAAAGAAAAGTGCTTACAGAGCCAAGAGACTGGGCGATTCATGCAACAAAACCAGCACAATTGCCTGTTGAGGTTGGAGCAACATTTCTTCCTCTGGTTGTTGTGGGTTTTTCGGGCTTTTTGGCCATGTTCTGAAGGCTGTTCTTCCTGACGTTTCGCCACAGAGACTGGCGAAACGTCAGGAAGAACAACCTTCAGAACATGGCCAAAAAGCCCCAAAAGCCCACAACAACCATTAAATCCGGGCCGTGAAAGCCTTCGCGAATACATTTCTTCCTCTACTCAAGTATTTATTTCCTCTACCACCATGTACTGCATTTTCTGCCACCAAAGAAAAATGAGATGCAGTGCATAAATAATAAAACTCAGTCTAGATGTACTAATAAAAAACATCCACAACCGCAAAAAGAGGAAGGGAAAATGTAAACAACACATTGTGGCCATATAGCAGAAGAAAAACAGCAAGAACTGCCTCACTCCTCCTCACCCAAGAAAACGCCATAGTTAACCAGTTGCAAGAGAAACAGTTTGTTAAGAAGAAGCCAAACTCACTTGAGCTGGCAGAACATTCAACAGGGTGGGCATCATGATGGAAAAGGTGCAGCCTGAAACCTATCCCATTCACAGCATCACACCCTGAGGATCTGAAAGTATTATAGATAGCAGGAGTGTTCCCAAATATACTGAGGTTGTTAGGCTGTGTACAGCAACTCTCTTCAGCTACGCATCCTCTGAACATATTACTGGCTTGTGCTGATGGGAACTATAGTCCTAAACATTTAGCAGGACCCAGATTAGTATATAAATTTTAATATCGCCGCCAGGAGCTTGAACTGGACCTGAAACCTAATAAAGAAAAGTGAAGTCAGAGTTACAGTAACACAAATTGAGACCCAAATGAGATACAAATTGCAGCATCTCATCCTACCTGAAAGACTCAAAGTGTGTTCACAAATTGTTCTGAATAATGTGCAGTGTAACAGCCAATGTCACAGGCCAACCCCTTGCGTGCTGTAGATAATCATAACTAGCTCACTAGCCTGTGAAAGGCAAGTATTGCCCTTCAGCAACAATGCAGAGTACAGGCATGGAGTTGAAAAGGTATCAGTAGGAGTATATATCGAGGGGATATTATTTTAAAAGCTCAGGTTGTGCAACTGGTCCGGTCTGCTAACACAAAGTGTTGGCAAAAAGCAATTTGCTCAAAGCAGATAAAGGCTGAATTGATTTTCCAACCAGATGCTGAATTTAGGTCCTGTCCACATGCTGATGGTGTCCCTGGTTGTTCTTGTTGCTTTTGTTGTTGCTGCAAATTTGAATAGAGCACTTGCAGACACACATGGGGGGGGTCCTGGGTTGTCCCAGTGCTGCACATGTAGACATCTCACTCCCAGCACAGATTGTCCTTCTCTTTTGTGCATCTTTTCTGCTTTCTTCCTCTGCTTTCTTCACTCTCTCCCCCATTTCCCTCCTTGCTCTACCTGTCCATGTGGTGTGAAGGGGTGGAGATTGACCAGGAGGGGGAAAAAACCCTAACACAAAATACTATCAAATAACACACAGCCACAAAATATGCAGAGGAGCACAGAACAATGCAGTATTAGGATTCACACAGAGAGATCTTGCATTAGAGCATATAAAACAAAGCAGAGCAAAAATACACAACCACCCAGTAGTAGTGTCAAAAACCGAGAAAGAAAGGGTTTTTGGTTTTGTGGATTTTTTTGTGGGGGGGGGATGTGTCCTTGCTTTGACTCTGTTGACACTAGTTTTGGCCCTAAATTGTGTAGACACTGGGATGACGTACTGGTATCATGTGTGCAAGGAAAACTGAACAAATGCTCAGTGTGGACAGGCTCTTACATAGGTAAGGTAGCAAACCCTGGTGGAGAACCAGCAATAACAGTATGTTCTCTCTTTCACTCCAAACCTGACTTGGCTTATCCTCTATTTCAGTCTTGCCTGACATCAAATTGATCACAAAATGATGCATCCCACTCACCGAGATCTGTGCAAGAAACTCAAAGGTAGCCTTCATAGTTTATCCCACCCCTATTTTATCCTCAAAATAGCCCTGTTTGGTAGGCAGGCTGACAGAGAATGAACGGAACGAGGCTACCTCCATGACTGGATGGAGAAGTTGGGCCTGGGCTTTCCTGGATCTCTTCTCACTTTTCTGAGTGAGAATAGGAATCCAACTTTGGACAATGGCCAGGGGAGTTCAGAGATTCCATCTAGATTTCTTTTTCCTGCATTGCACTGTTCAGAGTCCTCACCTTGCACAATTGGACATTGTCTCTAATCAACAACAGGTCGTTTTGTTTACCTTAAGCAAGAACCAGCCAAGATGGGGTGATAGACTTAAAGGCAAAGCTTAGGAACCTTTAGCCTATCAGATATTTTCGACTTCAACTCCCAGAAGTCCCAGCCAGCACAACCAATGGTAGGGAACATGGATGTTGTGGTCCAAAGCAGGCATTGCTTCTAAGGTTTCCCAGCCCTGCTTCAGGGGAAGTGTGAGACAACAGACTCTGGAAAGTGCCCCCACTTTGTGGGTACCATAGCAACTGATACTGTAGTCAGCCAGTCAAATAAAAATGATAATACAGGAAAGCTCATCCTCCCTGACTAAATGGTACTTTAAAACTCCAGCAAAATTGCTACTAAAATGTTATCATGCATTTTAGGACTCGTGGCCAATCAGATTGCTCAGTTTGGCAGAACCTTGCTTTGGCTTTTAAAGAGAAGGTGCCTTGTGCTGCAATATGCAGTATTTCTGAAAAGGTGGATTCTTCCATTCGTAAACGATACATGCAGGGGGAAGGGAAAAAATAATATTTTAAACTTAGGAATTCAGGAGATACTATCCAGTTGCTGTTCACTGGCTGCAGATTTGAGTGTTTGCTATGTTCCCTCCACTCTGTTAACAACTCTTTAGTGAATGTAAAACAGTGCATTCCTGTAGCTTTTAGCTCAAACTGAACGTTACAGATACCTATGATAATGACTTGCAATAATGGTTTTTCTAATAATGCTTTTTTAAAAATACAGTAAAAATGTAAGAGAAGCTAGTTGTGACTTTATCTTTTTGTCACATTCCATTGTGTTAATAAAATTCATCACACAGAAATAAATGTCACCCCTGCAACATTTTCTGCTCTATAATATCTCTTCCTCTATCACCACAGCTCAACATAATGATGGGCATTTTTCTTAGTGTGTGTATGTGTACTAAAACAATTTTTTTTGCTTCTTTTATTCATCAAGATATGAAACCCAGAGTCCAAGGTGCACCAAAAAGAATTCATCCGATTAATATACATTAATGTAAGGGATTACAGTCTGAAAAGAACAAGAGGGACAACCACATCTACCTATTTCCTCTGGATGATCATACAGAAAAAGCAACATTACTAAAACTAGTCCCTCTCCGATTAATATACATTAATGTAAGGGATTGCAATCTGAAAAGAGCAAGAGGGACAACCACATCTGCCATTTCCTCTGGATGATCATATAGAAAAGGCAACATTACTAAAACTAGTCCCTTATTTGCTGTCCTTTTATTATCTCAGCAAGACACCACAAGAGTACAGCATACCTTTGCATGAAACAAAATTTACTTTGCTTCTAAGTAATCTTTTCTTCCTAAACATGTTTATAATAAATGACCTTAGAACAGAAGCTTACTTACAGAGTTGACCTCCTCTACAAGCCCCACTGATTTAAATGGGCCTACTCTAAACGTATCTTAGGTTCCATCTGATCAACTTCATTGTGGACACAGTCTTAGCAGTAAACTTATCCTAAACCCAAAAGAATAACATACCTGCGGGTTCTTCCGTGCTACTGGCCATAGTGGTGGGAGGAACAACAGGAATCTCTGTGGGAGAGAAGAAAAAAATGGACAGAAACAAGGGAAGAATGAACACGAATGGAGGGCATTAAATGGGGTTAAATGGGGTTGAGGGAAATGGTGCAAAATCTCTCCATCAATATTGATTCTTTGTTCAAATTAGTTGCTTGTAATTACAGTATTACCTTTTTCCTGGAGCAAAGGCACAAAAACATTGCATTGTGATTGTTTCATTCTTTTTGCAGCCTCACTGAATGGTGGAGAAGGGAAACCACATGGTCTGAGCAAGGGCACATGAGTTCATGTGATCAGGACAGAAGGAGTGTATTTTGTCTTACAGACAGTTTGTAGCATTCAGACTTTTACAAGTTAATTTTTTTTTAAAAAAAAACTATTATAGTTAATTTTGAGAAGTGGGGAAGTGGAGTTCCCGTGAGTTCATGTGATCAGGACAGAAGGAGTGTATTTTGTCTTATAGACAGTTTGTAGCATTCAGACTTTTACAAGTTAATTTAAAAAAAAAAAACCTATTATAGTTAGTTTTGAGAAGTGGGGAAGTGGAGTTCCCGTCTTAAAACTGCAACTATAATTGCAATTATAGAAACACTAAAAATTGTAAAGGACAGGTGAGAAGGAAAAGGAAAAGGTGACAGAAATAGGTTCAGAACCCTGAATGCACCTTTTCAGCTACTGTCACACAGGGAAAAGAGAACTATAACAATAGCCACTGCAAAGAAATAGAGGAGAAGAACAAAAGGGGAAAAACAAGAGATGTCTTCCTGAAGATCCAAGAAATCAAAGAAAAATTGTAAGACTAGATTAAGAACAACAAAATATTAAGAATGCTGAAAGACCAACAGGAAAACATTATATCTGACCAAGATCAGATCAAGGGAATGTGGCAACAGTATACTGAAAATATATACATAACAGAGGAAAGGATGACATTCTCCTTTGAAGAGGAGTACTATGATGAAGAACCTGCAGCTCTAGAATATGAAGTGAAAGCTGCTCTGAAAGCATTGGAAAGAAAGAAATCACCAGGGGTAGATAGGATACCAATATAACTATTTTAAGCCATAGAAACTGAGTCTGTCAAAATCCTAACAAGAATATGCAAACAAATGTGGAAAACAAAACAAGGTCCCATAGACTGAAAGCATTCAATATACATTTGAATTCCAAAGAAAGGAGTTGCCAAGGAGTGCAGCAACTACAGGACCATTGCTCTAATTTCTCATGCAACTGAAAGATGTTCAAGATTTTGCAGCAAAAGCTTTTACCTTATATGGAGCAACAACAATGGTCCTATAGTTATTACACTCCTTGGCATCTCCTTTCTTAGGGATTGGAATGTATACTGTATTGAGTAGTTCCAGTCTGTGGGCCATTGCTTAGTTTTCCATATTTGTTGGCATAATCTTGTCAGGATTTTGACAAATTTAGTCTCTGTAGCTTGAAACGGTTCTATCAGGATTCCATCTACTTCTGGTGATTTATTTCTTCCTAGTGCTTTCAGAGCAGTTTTCATTTTGCATTCTAGAACTGCAGATTCTTAATCATAAGATTTCTAAGCTCTGTGCAAAGCCACATCAATGGACGATAAATAATTATAGAATAGTGGCCAGATAAGGTATCCTTGAATTATGTGTTGATACAACAAATAATTTATTGGCCAGCATTATAACCAATAATTTATGAGGCAATGTAATTAATCACCTCATAAACCCATGCCATCAGAGGTCAAGCAGCCCCTGGTTATGCTCTTTAAAAACATCAAAACTATCTGGGAACATAATATTAGAACCATAACCATTTTTCAAATTTATGGTTTCCAAAGTGCAATAGTAAATGTGATGATCTACAATTATCTTGATAAAGTTCAAACTGCAGCCTTTCAGAGTAGGAATAATACCTCCTGCTAGTTAAATCTTTATGCAAATCCAGTTCAGATGCTGTGAAAATTGGATATAGTAATGTCAGGGAAAACCAGAAACATTGGCTCCTCCTCAGATCTCTGTGCAAACTGCTTGTAGGGTCCATGTACACACGTAGGGTAAACGGCCTAAAAGCAGGTATTGAGTCCAACACAGAAATCCTAATGCCCATCTTCACAAGTGTGAACAACATCTATTTTTAGAATATCTGAACAGCACTATACTGCTCATACTAGCAGAGTTCTTAACTTGGCAACATGGTAGATGTTGTTGTTTAAGTGTATTTTTGAGAGGAAAAGGAGTGGTAATGCCAATGGAACCCTCCAGTGTGTTGTCATTCCTCTAGTTCATGGCCAACACATGATTACAAAATAATCTTATACAGTACTCTTCATCATATGAAGATGCATCACCATAAAATATCAGTAGTGATGATGATTTCAACCCAGGATGTCCAAGGCAGTGCACATGAGGTGCTCAGTCCAGGTACTGAACACACCTCAAGGTTGCTGCATCATATGCCCACAGACCATGTATAATTTGTGAAAAGAACAGTACCAGAGTACTGTATGATCTTTTGGTTTCTGTTCCAGATTACTACAAAATGTATTCAGACAATTTGTCCTACATCTCCTCCAAAGACTTGATTCTTTCAACCACGACCTTCTGCTACAGCAGTGCTGAGGAAAAAGAACTGTGATCCTGTTATGCCTCCTCACAACTTTCTTTGCACTTTCTAAAAAAATCTAACAGACTTGTTGTCTTTGAAAAACTGTGCCTTAAGGGAATGTGGACAGTGTTATGGTCCACAACTTCATCAGATGAACTAGCAACAGCAAGGATAACAGGCAGCAGCAGTTGGAAGAGGAGAAGTGAAGAGAAAATGCTTGTTACAGTTCTATGATCCTACTGTAAAGGGTGTTGCTAGTGACAGATAGATAGATAGATAGATAGATAGATAGATAGATAGATAGATAGATAGATAGATAGATAGATAGATAGATAGATAGATAGATAGATAGATAGATAGATAGATAGATACTGGTCACTAGCAAATATGCATTTTTAAAGAAAGTTCCCAGGATCCCCATTGCATTCTGAAGTGCCCAAGAAATAAAACTAAATATACGACTATGATGAGCGTGACTCAAAGTAATTTAGATAGAAGACTTATAAATAAGCTATGAGATGATAAACTTGGCAAAAATGGGATTTGCAGTTTGCTGGCTTGGCTATTTAACTAAATATATTTTGAACTAAGAGGGGGTGGGGGAGAATCTAACACTTAGATATGCCACATTTTTGTTCAGCTATGTAAATATCCATCTCCTTTCAACAGTTTGGTATTAGACCCCAAGTAAACGATTATCTGAATTCATACATTTACATGATTGGCACTTTCTTTTTTTCATATGATGCAACCTCCTAGCAATTATGGAATACTGGTGGTGTGATGGTTTTCAAGTAAAATTTTCTACTATGTTCATCAGCCTACCTGAAGCATAATTGGAAGTTGCAGTAGTTTGATGCTGGCATTGCTGAAGAAAAGAAAAAAAAAGGAAAGGAAGGGAAAGGAAAGGAAAGAAGTAGCACTGCAAGAGCTGTCTGCTCTACAGCTTTTCACATTTTGGACATTTTGTTTCATTTGTCTATCCCCATATTAACAAACTAGTGTGATATATAGAGAATATCTATATATTAGTAAACATAAATGCATGCAAAAATCCACAGTGCAACCCAGAAATACACAACACAGGACCACTGTTCACATTACTGCTTCAACCAGGACATGCTTTTCAAAGCTATTTAAATTTCCAAGCTAATACAGGTTTCAGCCTGGGAAGGCCAGATTCAGTTTCAGAGACGTTCTTAGGGGCCATACAGTCGGGGTGCTGTGTGGGGCCAAAGGCAAAAGGGTGGGACCCAAAATCCCATTCTATAGCTTCTGTGCCAAGCACCCATAAAAACTGTAATGTGTCAGTGGCCAACTGCACAGTCCCTCTAGTTAACACATAAGACAGTGAGTCGATCTAACCAGGTATTAGTAAACAGTCCAGACTCAGGATTAATCCTGTTACAATACAGACGTCAGAAAGAGCATCCACCTACTTATGCAGGGGGCAATAGGAGATCTGCTTTGCTGGTACCCTTTGGCACATCGGTTGCAAGTGATGCCTGTCACGCCATCTTTGCAGGGACATTGCCCTGTAGTTTGATTACAGGTTTTTCCAGCCGCACCCACGGGATGGCAATCACACGCTGTGGGGGGAACACACAACAACAACAACAACAACAGGGTCAGAGGTGAGGGGTTGAGGGTAGAGGAATTATTTTCCAAAGAAGTATATGCATTATCAATAAGCAACATTACTGAAAAGCAGCAGGGATTCTTATTTCCGGAGCTGCAGGGCTGCAGTGAGACCAAACACTATTGTAGTCTTTGCCCCTGGATCGCAGCTGACCTTGCGCACTATATAGGAGCTGTATAAACACAGCAAATCTTCTTTCCATTTCCCAAACAAGAAGTCTGAAAGAAAAGTGATGGCTGATCCGTTGCAGCCCTTACATGAAATTTCATGGGCCACACAAAACGTTTTGATAAAATAATAAGGTTTAAGGCAGATATTACTATCCCTAAGTGGACTTGAGCTGGCTGGATAGCTCAATGAGTTAGATATCTGACTGTTGAGCCAGAGGTTAGGAGTTCTATTCCCCACTGCGCCTTCTGTGAGTAGGGCCAGCCTGTGTGGCCTTGGGCACAGGCTGCACAGTCCCAGGGCACCCTCCAGAAGAAGGGAAGGATAAACCAATTCCGAGTAATCTCTACCTAGAAAACCCTAGAGGGGGGGGTCACCATAAGTCAGAATTGAATGGACTTGCCTTGTGGATGACATTACCACACCTGCCTTGACTCAGGATAATTTCCTCTACAATTCAATTTCTGCATCTCCAAAGTCTTTCCAGCAGCGGTTTTAAAAAAAGAACCTTACGTTCTAACCTCACTGTCAGCTCTCAGGCTACACAGGTGGTAGGAAAAGAAGAAAAATACAAAGTGTTCACTTATCTCTCTAGGTCACTGAACACCAGGAGTGTGTGCCTTTAAGGACACATAGAGAACCCCAGGTGAGGAAACCAATGAGGTAGCATCCAGCTTCCCACAGTGACTAACCAGGTGGGTCCTGCGCATGGCTCAGAAGCAACTCTCACAGTTCCCCACCAAAGGCTACACTGGCTGGAGGATTCTTGGAAGCATAAATTAACTTTTCCCAAGTTTTGCTCTTGGAAAGTCCACTGGTAGGAAATGAAAGCAATAGCCCTTTCTTGTTAAGCCCCCTCAGGACACAAAGGGACACTGCATCTGAACCTTGGAATCCTCGGACAGCTGCCACTTCTTTTAATAAACTGTAATGAGGTTTTTACACACTATCTGAGAAAACTTCCTTTAGCTGATAGGATTAAGCAGCCAAATCAGTTGGCTTATTAAAACTGTGTTTGCCCCTTTGGGATTTTTGTTTTGTTTTGTTTTTTAACGCAGAGGTTGCGAGGGGAGAGGGACATTCTTTGCTGCTTCCCGGTTAAAATGTTCGCTACAGATTCTCAGTGACACATATGTATTCTGCCCAAACTCAGAATGCTGTGACTGCATGAGACGCCTATAATTTTATTTATACAGTAGTTTACAATCCAGGGTTGGCCCCCACCTTCCTGTCATTGGATGTCCCCAGATCAACTAGTAAGCATTACTAAACTTGTTGAGACATGGCTATATAAAGCAGCACATTTTTATATACAGCTAAGTCAATCAAGCTCATCCACCAAAAGTGGGGTTTTACTCCACTGACCCAGCAAATGTCAACCACTGTAAGTAGCCACACTGGAACAGGCAGAGAAGAAAGTTTTCTGTTGAGATAGGTACTGATGTACTACATGGGTAACAGACCTGATTTGTGTACATCCAGATTTGTACTTTTTAATGACACAGAAGACTGTACTTTTGGAAAGGAGAATAGTCACACACACACACTTGTGTTTACTACTCAGTGGCATGATTTAGCAGCACACTGTGTTTTGTTAGAGGCCATCCAGCTAACTTTTCATTAATTCATATTGTTTTGGTTTATGAGGTCTTAGTATCTGTATATAGTATGTGTATCATATTCAGATCTGCACTTTTTCATATTATCAAGCTTTTAAACAGACATATTGACTGTGAACCAACAGAAATTCTAGTTTCATAAGATTTTATTCACTTAGCTATAACCTGTTTTTAAAACTTTAGCTACAGCAACTACATACCTATTCACTAGGTATGCATTCACTAGGAATACCTTGCATTCAACACTAGCATTGTATTGTATAATTTATTGTGTGGTTTTCAACTTTGTTTCTTTTAATAGTGTTATCTGTCTTGGATCCTCTAGGAGAAAGGTGGCATATACAGTGGTGCCTCGCTTGATGACGATAATCCATTCCAGCAAAATCGCTGTACAATGAAATCATTGTCAAGCGAAAGTAAAAAACCCATTGAAATGCATTGAAAATTGTTCAATGTGTTCCAATGGGTGAAATACCTCACTGTCCAGCAAAGATCCTCCATAGGGCGGCCATTTTCTGGTGCCTGTATAGCAAGGAATCCGTCCTTAACACAGCAGGGAGCCATTTTGCACAGCGGGGAGCCATTTTGAGAGCTGCCGATCAGCTATTTTTAGATAAAAAAACGGTTCCCAAAGCAGGGAACTGATCATCGTCAAGCGGATTTTCCCCATTTAAACATCATTTTGCAATCACAAAAACCTCATCCCGGAGCAAGGTAATCGTTAAGCGGGGTACCACTGTAAATATTTTTAATTAATTAATTCAGTGCATTGAAAACATAAGTACTGTTGAACCTTATTTGTCCCTTAAGGAGGTAAGAGGGACGGCTTGTAGACAAAGGGCCTTTTCGGCAGCTGCCCCCAGACTATGGAATGCCCTCCCGACTGAGATTCTTCTGGCACTGACACTGATGACATTTCGGCGCCAGGTCAAAACCTTCCTGTTCCAAATAAATAAACAAACAAACAAACAAACAAACAAACAAACAAATAAATAAACAAACAAATAAATAAATAAATAAATAAATAAATAAATAAATAAATATGTCTTGGCTCTGAGACCAAAATAACAAACAGAAATATTACAAGCAAATTTGAAATTAAATGCTGCATTTTCTCAGCCCTTCCTCCTGCAAAAGGGATGATGGTGAATGTGTACATATATGCACATAAGTGCAACCAATATAATGTTTTGTGTTCCAGATGCTGTGGCTGTGTGCAAATTGTTACATTTACTGATCATGTCCTGTGGGCATGGAACCATTTTGGCTCACCAAATGTCTTTTTAAAACAATGTTTAACACAGGTAACTCTCTGTTTTTTCTCAGTATTGTTGCCTTCTGTTAATGTTCTCTCTCTCTATCTCTCTCTCTCTTATTGAATTGAACACAACTTTCCTCAAACACAATCAGTATAGTGCAGCTCAGTTCTTATTTTAGCCTTGTGTTGATTTTATACGTTTTGGTTTTTATTCTTTAGATTGTTATAGCAATATTTCTACGTTGTTAAATTGCCTTGATTTTGCACACTGATCAGTTATAAACTTTGTTTTAAAAAGTGCTGGTTGTAATATTTTGGTTTACTATTTCCCCTTTGAGCTAATTAAAATATGGTTCAGCAGCTATTGACAAATAGGCAAATATGACAAATATTACTGTTTGAAATATTGCATTCTTCAGAATTGCTCGCTGTTTGATTTTATCTTTCCATCTACTCTTCTTTTCTTGGCTCCAGCATTGTAACAAGGTAAGATGTTGCCAACTGTTTGTTATTGACAAGTTGGATTTTTCCTACTGTTACTGCTTTGGCCCATCAATTTTCTGAATAGAGTCTTTGAAGCTCAGAGATCAGGAAAAAAGTCTGACTGAGATTTGATCACATTAATAAGATAAATATAATAGGTACAGTACATACATTGTCGTGAATGTGGGCTTTGCCATCTAGAAAATCTGAATAAACAGCACCTTGTAGCTATGTACCACTCTTACCCCCTTTGCATTTCTCCTCACCACTGTCTCTCCACCTCCATACATCTCAAGGGGCGGCTGATTTGTGCCCTGCTAATAATCTGTTTTCTGAAATACTCTGTTTCCTGGAGTGAAATACCAAGCCTATGACAAACGAGAGCATCTGTACAAGTGCAGATATCCCATAGTCCAGGAACTGCAAGCACGTGCAATAAGATATGATCACAAAACAGGGAACCCCTGGATATTTCTCAATCATTTTCTGACTGGACTGGGACACAGGGGAGGTCTAGCGGACATGCCAGCACCATGTTCTGGGAATTACACTGGAGGTCTGACTCAGTTCCAAGAAATCTTTGTCCTGTTTATGTCCAGATGTCTTTCTGGCCTTTATGAAGGGCCTCGAAAAGCTTCCCCTTCCCCCCCCCCCGAAGACTTTTCTGATTTACACTTGATATATAAGGGGAAATATGACAAGCTTTCATAAATCCCTAAATATCTAATAGACTATGGGCTAGATTTTTGATTTGGAGTGGAGGAGAAAAGCAGTCGTGTAGAACAGTATTCCTAAGAAGCAAATCCCCACTGCCTTGTGGCCTCTCTTCCCTTTACAGAAACAGAAAGCCAGAATCTTCAGCTGGAGGAGACAAGAGTAGGAGTTGTTGGGGAAGAAACCACCTGCCAGAACGTCCAGAACATCACTATCATGAATTGTAAAAAGTCTAAAGGGAAAGAGACTGCTTGATCCTTTCTTGGACACAAAACTTAACAAGATGAAATCTGGGTGGAAGTGTGGGAAACCATTGGCTTCTCTAGAGCTTTAAGACATCTGCAGCATGAGTGGATTTTTGGCGTCAGTGTGACTTCAGTGTGCTGCTATCACTGCATGTAGAAAGATGTTTAGTTTGCTGAATTAATGTTCAAGGAGCTAAGAGCTGGGGTCTTTGTTGTTTGAGCCCACAGATGACAGAGTGAATGACAATGCTGTCCAAATTTTACATTTATGATTCTCAAAGCAGGAACTTTTTTTTGCCTGTTCTGTATTTCCATTTCTCCTCTTCTCTTCCTCTTTTATCTCTCTTTTCTATTTTCAAGTACAGTACAGTGAGAATTAACACTAGAATGTCCATTATATACTATACATCGATTAAAGAACCAGCAGATTTATAAAAATGCAAAACTTTTTCAAAGTGTCACC